CCATGGGTCATATGCCTATGTCATAACATAGGGCTCATATTCCAGTAGCATATCGTTTTGGGGAACACAACTCAATCCGTCAAGTATTCCGAGAAGAGCGAAAATGTAGTAGGCAACTGATGGGGACTCTTCAGAGCTCACACATAAGTTACAACTCTATGAGTGCTAGGGTGGCAATGATGAAAGCCACCTGGCTTTGGCTCTGTTGTAGAATCTAAATTCCATGACCTGATCTTTCAGGCCTCTGAAAACGGTTTGTTATCGACTGCTAGCTTAAAGCTCAGCAGTGCAAAACCGCCCAGTGACGCCACAATAAAAAGGCCTAGTTTATGCTTCAGGAAAACCCTGTGAAACGCGGTTCTGCTCGGACACTCCTGGGGCTGCCATGAGTCGGAATGGCCTTGGCGGCAATGGTAAATCCAACTCTAAGCCAACTGTCCTCGGCTGTCCCATTGCTCCCTGACCCTGAGGCTATGCCAAGCTATCTGCCGTTCCTCAACCAGCCCCACATTTCCCACTTCTCCTTTGCTCCGGCTACCTGGAATATTCGGACCCACAATCTTTATCTTCATTGACTCTACTTTTTTTTCTTCAAAAGGAATATCTGTTTTAGATTGTACGCACATAGAGACTTACAATAGTTATCTACTAGCATAATTCACTGACTCAAGCATACGGAATTATACTATTTGAGGGGACTTCCAAAAGTTTGAGGAAACATTCCATTCTCTTTTCATTCCAGTTTCCCACAAACGTTTGATAGGCGTGTATGTAATTGTTTCTGCCTTTATTGTTTTTTCAAATGATTGTGATTCAGGTGAACATGCACAGAGCAGCTCATCCGTTTTACATTCAACAATTCCTGCACGCTTTCTTTTTTCCAAAAGTTGCATCAAAATAAAGCAGCGCTTTAACTAATGCGAGTGTGTTGCATGGGTGTTAGCAGGACTACCCTCACCATGCATTCATTGGATAGTAGCGCAACCCCAAGAAAAGGATGGTTAATTCCTACACTTTTTCTTTGGATTCACCCATTTCAGTCTCTCCATGTGCCACCAATGGTCCCACTCTTCCCAGTGTTCCTCCAATTCTAATCCCCGAGCCTTAGGCAAATGCTCCCCTTTTGACCTTAAAGGGTTGACTATTCTCACAGTCAGGTGAGTTCGGTTCCAGACCTGAAGGATGATGAAGGGGTATGGTCCTGGAGGTTCCACCAGTCTCTAACCAACCAGTACGCTTGATTTCTCTTATGATTTTGAGATCTGTTTATCTTTTCCTCCCGCTCTATCCAAGATCTTTCCATGCGATCCTTTCCAGAGCAGCTGTTGGCCGTAGCTGGGCACCCTCTACTTGTTCTGGTCTCACGGTGGTGGAGAATGATGTTTGTGTGATCCCTTCGGGCACTGGCCCCATGTGTCTTTGGCTTTTCATCACTCTCTGTCTTCCAGATGGAGAGAGACCAATATTTGCACCTTAGCTGGCTGGTACCCTGTTTTAAAGATTGCTTGAATGAACCCTTTCTTTACTTCTCTCAAAGCTAAAATAGCATCTTTCTCCCCAATTCTCATAAAGCTTTGCCTACACCCATTAATTAGAGGTAGTATAGCTTTCGGATCCCTGGTGGCATCATGATTACAATTGGGCTGGGATCTGCAAGGTCGGCAGTTTGAAACCACCAGTCCGCCCTCGAGAGAAGGACAGGGCCCCATGTAGATACTGTCTGGGAAACTCACAGGGGCAGTTCTACCCTGTCCTTTCTGAGTTGGCATTGGCTCGAGGGCAGTGAGCTTGCTTTTGGTTTGAGGACAGTGTTGGAGCCCCAGTGAACACATGTCTGGCTAACCGAAAGGCTGGTGGTCCAAGTCCATCCAGAAGTGCTTCGCAAAAAAGGTCTGTTGATCAATGTCTGAAAAATGAGTCACGGGCAAGCCTATGGAGCACCTTTCGACTCAACACACACGGGGCTACTGTGAGTCAGAAGTGATTCAACGGCAGCTGATCTAGAATAGTATTTAGTAAACTTCTTTCACTGACAAAATATAAAAATCCGGGACAAAAATACAAAACACACAAACAAACCCTTAGAGGTCTCACTTATTTCTCCTCTCCACCTATATCTCCCCAAAGGTAATCATGCTTTATTTCTCATTCCTCTAGATTAGTTTTTCTTGTTTTAGAACTTTACATGAAAGGAATTGACTTTTTCACTCGACTGGGAGAGATTCATCCATCTGCAACATGCTGTTGCACTAATTCTTTCTGTTTTCTTTTTTTTTAAATTCTTTTTCTTTGCTCTATAAGTCTATTGTATCAATATACCAGTTTATTTCTCTTTATTTTTGATGGGTATTTTGGTTGTTTCTAATTTTTTGGCTATTATAAACAATGCTGTTATAAACATCCCTATATGTTTTCAATGCATATATGTAAACGTTTACATTCCATATATCATACAGCACTTGGAAAATAAAACAAAAGTCTAATATGTACTCAGCATTTTTCAGAAGGAAAAAAGTTACCAAAGCAAAAGCTTTAGCTATGCAGATGCTCTTTGTAGCATTTTTAAGATAAATGCAAAAATGGAAATCACCTAAACTCTTAGTAAAAGACAGTACTTTACTATATTAGAGCATGTCTATGCAATGGAACATTATATTAAAATATGGCATAAAGGATGGAAGGAAGTGGGAAATACAGGAGGAAGTGGGAAGAATGCTGTTACATTGTGGGGATTGCAATCAATATCGCAAAACAAAATGTGTACGAATGGTTGAATGGAGAACCCGTTTTCCTGCAAGCTTTCACTGAAATCACAATAGAGATTTCAGACAAACAAACAAACAAACAAAAAACACCTTTCTTTGACATAAAAACAAGAAAGAGCATGTCATAAAATGTATTTGTTGCCAACAAAAATTTTGTGTGGCCCTTTGAATACTATAAATCACTAAAAAACAATAATGGATCCAGGAAGCACCTCATGACATGGATGGGTCTGGAGAACATGATGTTGAGTGAAATACTCCGTCACAAAAGGATAAATATTATATGAGACCAATATTATAAGTGAAAACAAACAAAGAACAACAAGAAACCGAGAGAAAGACATTCATGCCAAATGGTCCAGACTCTGGAGACTGCCAAGGCTGAGAGGAGGAGGGAAGGCAGAGAAAGTAACGGACTAGGCAGGGGATGGGTGTTAAATTGGGTGTGATGGGTGGTGGTAAACCACAGGAGGGAGAAGAGTAATCAAGGAGTGGGTGGTAAACTTTTAGAGGTGTTGATTAGGAATTTATACTGTTGAATACAAAGTTGATTATCTGAAATGTAACCCTCCTGATTTACAACAATAACGAAATAAACTTAAAAATTCAGGTGTGGCATACTGTCAAATGGAAAAATATCTGGTTTTAGGGGAATATAGATGTAGCATAAATCTACTTTAAAAAAAAACTACTTTCACTCAAATAAATTATATGACTGAATATATGAAAAGATCACACCAAAAGTTTAACCGCGTTATCTTTCAGAAATGCAATGATAATTGATTTCTCCTTTCAATTCACTGTTTTCCAATCTTCCAAACTCACTTTCCCAAGTATGATGATGTATTTATCCCGGCATTCTCACACATAGCACACCATTTGGCATATATTTCTAAATAGATGTATATCTACCGATGTGAATACATATTGATGATCACAAAACCAAGAAGGTAAGAACATGAAATCAGTTACACTGTTGGCCTCTTTACAAATGGCCTCATAACCAGTTCTGAAGCTAGGTCATTGTCCTTGGAAACTAAGTGTCCACTTTTGATCAGAGTTTGTTAAGGTTAAATGAAAATGAGAGTCAAAAGTCAGGTCCTAGACTGTGCTTAAAACTTGAAAAAGTCACTCATGTTTCTACATCCTAAAGTATTGCAGTTTTGGTTTTCAGGGATTGTAATGTACTATTTTTTTTAAGGCTTTGCTTTTTCTAAAGTGTAACCCTATGATTTTTCATCTCTCAACACCCTCAAACTCCCCTCAACAAAAAATCCCTACCACATTTGCACCTAATTCCCCCCTGCCCTTTATGTTCGAAAGATTTAAAACCCCCAGTAGTTGTCTTGTTGATTTGGACTTACAAGGAGCCCTGGTTGTGTAGTGGGGGTTTGGGTTGGGCTGCTAACTGTGAGGTCAGTAGTTCAAACCCATCAGGTGTAGTTCAAACCCATCAGGTGCTCTGAGGGAAGATGAGGCTTTCTGTTCCCATAAAAATTGACAGTCTTGGACATGCACAGGGGGAAGTTCCCCTCTGCCCCCAGGGTCACTATGAGTCAGAATTGACTCCCTGCCAGTGAGTTGTTTGAGTTTTGTCATTTCGACCTATAGCAACCCTATAGGACAGGGTTCGAACTTCCCCATAGGGTTTCCAAGACTGCGATCTTTACAGAGAGAAGTCCTGGTGGTGCGGTGGTTAAGTGCTAGTCTCTTCACCGAAAGGTGCATAGTTCGAAACCACCAGCTGTTCCAGGGAGAAAGATTTGAAGTCGGCTTCTGTAAAGATTTTACAGCCTTGCAAACCCGGGAGGTCAGTTCTGTTCTGTATTAGAGGCTTGCTATGAATCGGAAAAGAGCCTGAGTGGTGCAGCGGGTTGAGCTCTGGGCTGCTAACTGCGAAGACAATCGTTCAAACCCACCAGTTGCTCTGCAGAAAAAATCAGTTTGTCTGCTCTTGTAAAGATTTGTAGTTTCAGAAACCTGTAGGTCGCCCCGAGTCGGAATCAACTTGCTGACGGTGAGTTTGGTTTGGCTTCGTCCTAGGTGTCTACGGTGTCCAAGGAGCTAGGAAGTTTCTTTCCCAGACCTTCGAATGGGACGGGTCAGGCAGGGACCTGACGGATCAGGGCTTTTGCCAAGGGGGTCCTCCTCTGCTTCCCACCCCAGGCAGGACCAGGTGTCTGTCTGTCTGTCTGCATTAGCGCTACACATCCCCGGAGACACTTGGGGACTCACCATTGAAACCGATCACCGCCTCAAGCTCCAGTTCGGCCACCTCGGCCTCTGGCACAGTTTGGGGATCCATCGCCACAGGACTGGACGCCCTTTCACTCCACTCGGGCAGCCGGCGCCGCGTCCTCTGGTCGTTATGGAAACGACGCCGCGCATGCGCCCTGGGTCAACGCTCTGGCAGGCAGCGCAGCAAGTGCAAGTCGTTTGTTTTCTCTCGCCAGTAGAGGGCTGTTTTCCCCTCTCCCCACATTTCTCCAGAAATTGAGGAGCAACTAACCGCACAGAACAGATATTTCCTCTCCCCTGTACAACCTGTGACATTCTTAAGAACTATATAATCAAGCCCCAAGCGCGATCTCTTTTCTTCACGATAAAACGTACAGCATTGCCTCTGATGGCGGAAACCAGACTCAGCTAACTCACAGCTGTCGCGTGGATTCCGACCCAGCATGACATTTAAGGTCACAGCAGAACTGCCGCCTCGCGTTTCCAAGGCTGCGCTTTTCCCCCGCGGGGCAGGCAGCTGGTGGGTTTGAACCGCTCACCTCTGGCTCGGCAGCCCAAGCGCTTCAGCGCGGCCCCCCAAGGGTTCCCACCGCCCCCGAGCAGACGCCCACTCAGCGACCTGACAGGACAGGGTAGAACTGGCCCTGCGAGTTTTTGCGACTGTACCTGTGCACGGGAGTGGACAGCCTGGCCTTTCTCCCGCCCGGGGGGAAGGGTGCTACAAAATTACACCCAAGGAGCACGTCGTCTGGCTCCTGTTTGAAGCCGGAAAAACATTTTAAGTAACATGGTCTAAACCCTCGGTCGTTACCTGAAAGACCCCCGATTCGAACCCACCAGCGACGTTGCCAAAGAAAGACCAGGAGATCTATTCCTTTCCAGATCGAAGAAAGACCGGGATTCTATTCCCTTCCAGATCGAAGAAAGACCGGGATTCTATTCCCTTCCAGATGGAAGAAAGACCGGGAGATCTATTCCCTTCCAGATGGAAGAAAGACCGGGAGATCTATTCTCTTCCAGATCAAAGAAAGACCGGGAGATCTATTCTCTTCCAGATCGAAGAAAGACCGGGAGATCTCGTCCATTCCAGATGGAAGAAAGACAGGAGATCTATTCTCTTCCAGATTGAAGAAAGACCGGGAGATCTCTTCCCTTGAAGATCAAAGAAAGACCGGGAGATCTCTTCCCTTGAAGATCAAAGAAAGACCGGGAGATCCATTCCCTTCCAGATCGAAGAAAGACCGGGAGATCTCGTCCCTTCCAGATCGAAGAAAGACCGGGAGTTCTATTCCCTTCCAGATCGAAGCAAGACGGGAGATCTATTCCCTTCCAGATCGAAGAAAGACCGGGAGATCTCGTCCCTTCCAGATCGAAGAAAGACCGGGAGATCTCGTCCCTTCACGATCAAAGAAAGACCCGGAGATCTATTCCCTTCACGATCAAAGCCCAGGAAACCCTACGGGGAACTTGACTTTGTTCTAAGGGGTCGCTAAAAGTCGGGATCGACCCCACAACGTAAAACAACCGAGACTAGGGTCCTAAGAACGTCTGCTTCGATTCTGTCCAACGGTGTGTCCTTGAACTTGCGTTTCTGAGGAGGCACAGACGGCTGCACGCCGTGGTTGCCCAGCGGAGCGCTTCCCCTCGCGAACGCACAGTTGTCGGGTCGCAGCGCCGCGCGTCCCGGGACCGGCGGACTCCGGGCGCCGGCTGCGCGCGGCCGAGCGGCGGGAAGTGAGCCTCGCGGGCCGCCGTAGTCAGCCGCCGCGAGCCGGAAGTGTCGGAGGAGCCGGGACCTGCAGGATGGCACCGGACCCCTGGTGAGTCCCGGGTGTGAGCGGCTGTCTGCGGTGAACCTCACGGGAAGCCCGGCTTGTGGGGACACAGCGGCCGATGGCCTTGGGGCTAGAGGTCCCTCAGAGGGAGAGGAGGGGCCGCGAGGACGCTTCCTCTGTTTAGAACTCGGTGGTCTCCCTCCACCCTCGATCCTTGCGACGCTGCCGGGGTTGGAGACCCGGTGCACCCCTTGGGGAGCTGAGGACGGGTGCCGGCTCTTTGGGCCGCGGGGTTTTCCCGCTCCTTCTGGCCATGCAGCTGGCTGGTGCAGGCTGCCCCGGACCCCCGTGGAAGTGAAGTAGAAGAAATCTTTCTGTAGAATTTCCTTATGTCCATCCTTACGTCACACAAACCAAGGTTTCGAAGCCCCAGTCCCATCTACTTGGGAGTAGGAGCTGCATTTTTTGTGGGCCCCATCGAAAATTTGTAGGAATCTGGGAGGGGGATGATGCACTGGTTTAAAAGACATTGCACCCTATTCTGTGTAAATAGCACAAAGACTTGTTTCAACCGCCACTTCTGCAGTCAAACATTAGCTGATAAGGGTGGTTTATTTAAAACGAGGAACCATTCAGTTGCAAGGGATGAATGGTGGAAGACAAGTCCTAATCCCCAAAAAATTTATCATTAAAGCAGATTGGATCTGAATTTTTTTTGTTTAGGAGTGCAAAGCATATTATATAGCTTTATGAAGTTCTAGTGGGAGTATATGTTTTATGTTGATATGTTACCTGTAGGTTATAATTGTGTAACTTGCAAGCAGTCTGGACATTAGAAGAATGGAGCCCAAGATCAAAGTGAAAGCCACCCAGTGCCTAGATTATGTCATTCTCTTCATTGAAGTATCATCAGTGTTAACAGCTCTATACAATCCAAGTAGAAAACATAGATAGTAGTGAAAATTTGGAAATAGCCACTATTGATTTTTAAAATGGGTATGTTACTTTAAAATGTACAATTATCCATCCCTTGTTTCCAGAAACTATGTGTGATACAGAAAAGTGCTTTTGGAATATGTGTATCTATGTGTATTACTGCGTATTAAATAGAGGAGCCCTGGCAGGGTAGAAGGTTCTGTGTTGGGCTGCCAACCACAGATCAGTTCAGAATGACCATTCACTTCACGGGAGAGAGATGATGAGCCTCTCCATCCCTGCAAAGAGGGTTCTGCAAAGACAGTTCTACCCTGTCCTATAGGGTTGCTGTGAGTTAGAATCGACCCGATGGCCCTGACGATGTTATGTAAGGAGTCCTGGTGGTATAGCGGATTACACTTTGGGTTGCTGACCACAAGGCCAGCAGTTCAAACCCGCCACTCCGAGGGAAAAAGATGAAGCTTTCTGTTCCTGTAAAGATCTACAGCCTCAGAAACCCACAGGGGCCATTCTATTCTATCCTATAGGGTTGCTCTGAGTCAGAAGTGACTCAGTGGCAGTGAGGTTTAACAAAATATATAAATAATATACTCTTAGTATAATATACGATATTATATAGTAGTATTTACTATGTAATATTTATGCTAGAGCTTGCGTTCTGAGCACTAGATTTGCAGAAGGCTACGGCTAACAGTGAAAGCCCAAATCCATTTGCAGAGCCTCCACGTGCATTGAGCCTCCTTTGAATTCCTCGTGACCATTAGCAGGGAAAGTGAGCAGCCTCGCCCTCAGGCAGAATCCATTAGAAAGTAGATTCCTGCCACTGTATAACTAACCCAGGGAGGGCAGCCTCCCTTAGGGACTTGCCTGGAGGTGTCCTTGTTGGAGATTGTACTTCTGGGGTCACATGGTCAAAACATGCCCTGATTGCCTCAGTCAGGGAGCCCTGACCAATTTTGGAGGCTCTTCTGTAGCATAATATGAATGTCCCACTCCTGGTCTCATTTCTCTTTCTGCAGTCCTGCCTGCAACTGTGATGCATCGCTCTGCCCCTAGTCATGCTTCTGGGACAGTGTCCTTTGTCCTCTCACACCCTAGTGAAGCCTCAGTTCTTTGTCAACCCTTGGACACCATAATCATCTCTTGCTAATGAGCTCCATGTTCGGAATGATCTGTCTTTGTCCTGTTTAAGACTTAACAAAAAGTCTGCTTAAATTGTATTTGAATTTTGGGGTCTTTTGTACCCTAAAACACATTGTAGCTATTATAATATTACAAAAATCTTGTTTTCAGAGACTATGAAATCACCTAGAAAATTGTACTGTTTTGGAATATATATATAAACACCCATCTGTGTGTGTGTGTGTATATATATACACACACATCTACATATATATACACACATATGAAAAATACACATGAACTAAATTGTTTATATAAATGTGTGTATACATGGATGCATATGAATATAAATGTACATACAAACTGAAACACCAAATTCATTGCCATTGAGTCAATTCTGACTCATTGTTACCCTCTAGGGCAGACTAGAACTGCCTGTGTGGGTTTCTCAGACTGTACATTTTTATGGGAGTAGAAAGCTTCATCTTCCTCCTGAGGAGCGGGTGGTGGTTTTGAACGACTGACGTTATGGTCAGCAGTTCAATGTGAAACCCCCCATGATAACCAGAGCTCTACCATATATTGACATGAGTGACGTAATGTAGTAGTCTTGTCTCTGTTAGAATAGGTAATTGATTAATTGAAATCCCAAAGACTAGTTCCTTGTCCCATCTCCTTTAAGCAGACTTCCTGAAAGGGGACCTAGTGGATCCAAGAGTCCGAGTGTTCTTCCGTCACTGGGCACATGCTTCTAAGCTGGCTCCACCTCCTGGAAGCTAACCGCTCAGTGTAGACATAAAACTCAAAATCAGTTGCTGTTAATCAGTTCTAATTCATGGCAACCCCAGGTGTGTCACAGCAGAACGTGTTCCGTAGAAGTTTCCATGGCTGATATTTGGGAGGGACGAAAGGCCACATGGATTGCATAAAAACACATTAAGATGGAGCCATAAACGAACTAGAGGAAAGTAGGGATGAATACACTGACAGTTTCTGGATGACAAATGTGTTCTGTTCTTAAGTCTTTCAAGTCTAGTCTGTATGTAAAGTGGCAACAGGTAGGTATGGTCATATGCTTGCCTTAGTATTTAGGGTATAGAGAGTCCTGGCAGTGTAGTGGTTGTGAAGTGGTCTTAGAAGGTCAGCAGTTGGAGACCACCAGCCACTCCACAGGAGAAAAATGAGGCTTTCTACTTCTGTAAGAGTTACAGTCTTAGAAACCCAGAGGGACCGTTAGTTCTACCCAGTCCTATAGGGTCACTGTGAGTGTATTAGTCGGGGTAGACTAGAATAACAAATTCATAGACACTCGTGTATAAGAGCTTTGTATACAAGAGCAATTGAATATTGAGAAAACATCCCAGCCCAGTCCAGATCAAGTCCAATATTAGCCCATATGCTCAATATCAATCTATAAATTTCTCTTCAGACTCACGCAACACATGCAATCATGTCCAGCGCAGAAAGATCACAGGCCAGTCAGTGGAAAGTCTGGTGGATCCAGTGGCAGTGGAAGCATCTCAGAGCTGGCAGGAGTCTCCATGTGGCTCCTTCAGTCCCAGGACTCTAGCGTACCTCTGTGTCGTCTCAACAGGAATGTCTCGCAGGGGTGTGCATGTGTCCCTCTTCCAGAGAGCTATTTATCTCCTTAGTGCCTCCAAATGAGGTCATCAAGCTGCGACCTGATTGACAGGCTGAACTCCACTCCTTCACTCTTTTTTTTCTTTCCCTTCACTCTTAAGTCTCAAATTAACAACAGATTATGTTAATACCACAGTGAGTTGGGATTCATTTGATGCATAAGAAAAACTAGGGAAGATAAAAAAGAAAGAAAAACTAGAGAAGATAATCATTTCCAAGTACAGATGTTCAAAGATCTCTTTAGTGTAATACAGTCATAATAATATTGGTGGTTTTGGGTGGTGGTCTCCCCCCTCCCCTTTTAAAATTACATTAAAAAACCCTCACATTTTATTATGATTTAGCTGAAGTTTAAAGAGTAAATTTGTTTTCCATTTAACTATTAATGCACCATGCTGGGTGGCCATTCATTCACCTGGTTGGTGACCTTGGATTTAGCATACAGCAGTGGCTTGCTGGACCCCCCAGGACTAGAGACCAAGGCTTGATTTGTGGGCTTAGTTTGTTAATAATAATTATTGTATTATTGTAAAATGTCAGCTATCCTAGTGGGAGTGAAATGGTATTTCATGTGGTTTTGATTTTTATTTCTCTAAGGAGCCCTGGTAGTGGCTACACGTTGGGCTTCGTTCCACATGGTCGACAGTTTGAAACCACCAGCAGCTCCGAGGGAGAAAGACTGGGCTTTCTACTCCTGTAAACAGTTACTGTCTCAGAAACCCTAGTGGGTTGCTGTGCACCAGCAGTGAGTTTTCAGAAGGAGCCATGGGCAGTGGAGGATCACCATTGGGTTGCTAAGCACAAGGTTGTCAGTTCAAACCCCAGCTGCTCCATAGGAGAAAGAGGAGACTGTCCCTCCCATAAAGATGTGTGATCTGGAAACCCTAAATAGGGTCACCATGAGTTGGTGGCAGTGGATTTCATAGACTCAGTGGCAGTGGATTTCAATTTTGGTTTAATGGCTAATGACATTAGTAATATTTTCAGGGACTTGATATGGTCATTTGAAGGTTCTAATTGGTGAATTTTTTACCCCCCCAACAGTTTTATTGTCATATAATTTACATATCATACAATTGAATAGTTCAGTCGTTCAATCATATTAAGAAAAATTGTACTATCATTACCACATCAATTTTAGAACACCTCCCCGCCCCTTTGTGGTTAAATTCTTTAAAATGTGTTGTGCAATCACAATCAGTTCTTGTGCACCTTCCCCCACCCCCGGCTTTCATTGTGTACTCCCAAAATCCCCTTTCCCTCTCTAACCACCCCCACATAAACCTTGTCTCAGTTATTATCACTATGCATCTACTCCTCCTGTGCTTCACAAACCTGGGAAACCCAACAGAAACAATAAAAAACAAACTAAGGTGGTAAGGATGAAGTCATAATAATATAAAGACAAAAATACAAATAATTAGTAAGAAAGAAAAGACACCCAATCAGCATTTTAAAAGCCAGGGAAGAAATTTCTGTCATGGAACAAGTACGAGATACTTGCACCCACACACATTCAGGTTGGGTCTATAGGGAGGTCAACTGGCCAAGTATCCAGTTCGATCCAGCAAAATCAAGATTACGATGGTCTCTGCCTGACAGTAAGGCTGTTTGAGACCCTTGCTGTGGCTAGCAGGGATCTCCCAGAGCCTCAGTCTGACTAGCTACTCAGCAGATGGATTTGGGGCTCCACTGTCCTCCATAGCCTTCTACAAATTG